CCTTTTTTCCCATACTTTAGACATCTGTTACTTACTATATTAGAAGGGTACACACCTTTCTCTTCTGCTAGATGCTAATTTATTTAAGGACAAGGACTCTGGCTCACTTACTCTGGTATCTCCTACAGTAGGTGGCACCATAGCCTCCCTGAGCCAGGAACTGAGGATTCACTGAGCCACAATGGTAACAATAAACAATAACAATAATAATAGCCGGCATTTTCCTTTGCTCCCCCTGTTCTGAAAACAAGTGGGTGCCTTCAGCACATTAGATCATTTAGCCCTCACAAAATCCCTGTGAAATAAATAATTTTCTTTTTCCAAATCAGGAATAGTAAAACTTAGAGAGGTTGTAAATTGCTCAAGCTCACTTGATTACAAAAAAGTACAGTCGGAATTTCAAATTTATGTTCTTTATTTCTTTCTCTTTTTGTGCTACTGGGGATTGAACCCAGGGGCACTCAACCACTGAGCTGCATCCCCAGCTTTTTACAATATTTTGAGACAGATTCTCACTATGTTGCCAAAGCTGGCCTCAAACTTGTGATCCTCCTGTCTCAGCCTCCCAAGTTCCTGAGATTACAGTGATGTGCTATGGTACTCAGCCAGAGCATATATTCTTAATTACTATTCTTTACAAAAGTTGAAATTCAGGTATAAAACTTATTATGTTATTAACTATCTAACAGTTATATTTAAAAACTAGTGTTATTGAGGGAAAGGTGAAATACTGGAAAATTATATTGACCAAATAAATTATTTTGTTATATCATGTACATGTATGTATGAAGCAATGACTCCCACTATTATGTATAATTACAATGCACCAATACAAATATGGGAAAAATCATGAAGAAAAATATTTAGAATTGCTTCCCAGTATAAAGACTCTTTAAATTCCTTTACTTAATTACAATAAAAATAAAAACAACAAAGAAAAGAAAACCTTAGTGTATCAATATCAAGATTTAAAAAACTCACTCTGAATAATAGTGACTTGCTGTACAGTGCTTATTATATGATAGGCATTATTCTAAGCAACTTACCTATCTTAACTCATTTATCTAATACTGTGAAGTAGGTACTATCATTATCATTTTATAGCTGAGGAAAGAGAAATTCAGAGAGGTTAAGTAACTCAGGGTCACATAGCTAACAAGTTGTAGAACCTGGATTTGAACCTGGGCAGTTTGGATTTAGCATTTGTGCCCTTAACCACACACTATACTGGCTGACTAGAGTATAAATTTAGAACATACCTCAGATTTTGTGATATAATTATATAAATTGATTATATCAAGAAGGCTAGCAGATCACTAAGCATAACAAAGAAGTTTAAATGTCAGCGCTCAAGCTATTATTTTTATTTAGTAGTAGACTATCTCCAGAAGTACAAAATTTCCTTAAAACTCAGTAGTGATAACTCATCACTCTGGACAGTCATAAAACAGAAAGTGCATGTTAACTTCTCACTTAATAGTTTACATCTAGGTCTTAGCTTCCATTCACACCCCTTTCCCCAACTCTCACTTTCTGATGGGGATAGTCACCTCAAAACACTGCCCAGGAGCCTGCTTTTCCAAGCCCTCATCCCACTCTGCCATCCCATCCCATTTCATGTTTACTGGAAACTGGAGGAGATTCAGGGATTTTTCTTTTTATTTTCCTTTTTTTTTTTTAATTTGCCTCCTTTTTGTAGACTCTAGGAAACCCTGAGTTGGACCAAGATCTGAGGTTGGAAAAGTATGTTTTTACTACTGATTTTAAATTTCTGAAACAGTGGTCCTTGGCCTTACCTGTGCATTGAACTCAGCTGAGGAGTTTCAAAAAAGTTCTCACAGCTGGGCTTCCTCTCTAATGCCTCTGATTCAGTCAGTCTGTGGTGTACCCTGGGCTCTGAGAGTTCAAGAAGCTGCTGGAAGCTCCAAAGCACAGCTGAAGTTGAGACCCACTTTGTCTACTGACATTTAGCACAGGACAGCTCTTTGTTGTAGGAGACTGTCGTGTGCATTGGAGGGTGTTTCTCAGCATCCCCAACCTTTACTGGCCAGGAGTCCTTTCTCTCATTGTGACAACCATACCTGCCTAGAGATTTTGCTAGATGTCTTGCTAGGTGGAGGATGGGGGAACAAAACCACCTGCTTTGAAAACCACTGGTGCAGAGTCATTGTTAGTAGCCTGGGCTGTGAGACAAATCTCTCAGACGGGAAGAGAGAAGGGTGGCTGCTATCACACCCTTCTCTAATAGCAAAATATGCCAAGATGCTGCCGGGTACTGTCAGAAAACCCTCCTGTCATGGCAAGAAGCCTGATCAGGATTTTGTTCTTTAGGTTTTTGTATTTCGAATCAAAGAGATGGAATATTTCTTGAGGAACATCATAAAGGAAGGCATCATGGAGAACAGGGAATTAAGGAAATGATACAAATCTTCATAGATGATCTGAGGCACAACAGAAGAAAACTAAATCTTTTTTTAATTAGAGTGAACAGTCTGGCCTGGGTAAAATACTGTCTGTAGCTGGAGTGTAGCTGCCAGGAGCAAGGAAATAATGCACAAGGGCTTGGGTGCAAAGTGTGTGGACACCTGGAACGCTGGGGAGAGCCCAGAAAGCACCATGAGACAGAGAAAGTGAGAGAAAGAAAGGAAGCAAATAGTGATGCATTAACAATAATTTGACCCTGTGGATGCCTGGAACTTACTCCCTTGGAGAGTCTCAGGGAGCCCAGGGCAGAACATAAGCCTCAGAAGTGTGGGATGAGAGAGCTGCTGTATTTATCCACCAATTTCCATTTATCATTTGTCAGGGCCATTTATCCTCAGCAGTTAGGCTGAGCTCTGGTTTTGTCCTCAGGTGGAGTTGCAAGTGGGGACCATTGAGAGCAGTGGATGGTGATTGCTGATGGAATATGGTAGGGGCTGGGGGACACTGGCAGTTTCTGTGACAGTGGTCAAATTTTAAAATTATTTAAAGGCATTCATGCTTTTGCTAGCTAACAATATTTAATTTTTAATAAAGATTTTATTATATTGAAGAATATTGGGAAAACATACCAATATTTGTCACTCTCAAAGTTACCTCTACCTTATTTTTGAGACCATGAAGTACCACTGCCAGAAACCCAGCAGTCATCTCAGCCCTGACTGAAATGACTCAACTCCTTTTGCTCACTCTTTACACCCTATGCAACAAGCCCTTTCAGGTCCACTCCAGAACATTCTGGAAGTTTTCAGGCCCTGTCTGTGTTGCTACCCCCATTAGTTCAGGATGATGTTATTTTTCCCTGGACTATTAATAGCCTCCTCCTATGCTTCTCACGGTCTCCTCTTCTTTCAGCTCCTTGAACCCACAAGGCACTTTGTTGGAATATTACTCCTCTTCCTCCTTCCACCCCACTCCACCCCCACTCTTCCAATGACTTGCTTCTTCCCATCCTTCAGATCTGGATAAATGTCACTTCTTCATTGAGGACCAGATCTCCTACCTGTTGTTCTATCTCAATCCCTGTTTATTTTCTTCTCAGCATGCTTTAACTGTAATTATTTTGTTTGTTGATTTTGTCTGTTTCCCTTTCTAAAATGTAATCTGTGTGAGAGCAAGCATCACATCTATCTCCTTGAGCCCTTCATCCCTCATAGGATTGCCAAATTCACAAATAGATGATACCAAGTTAAATTTGAAGTTCAGATAAACTTTGAGTAATTTTTTAATAGAAAAATGTCCAGGAATCGCATGACATTCTTACACTAAAAATGATTGGTGGTTTGTCTGAAATTCAAACTTATCTGGGCATCTAGCAGAACGGGCAAGTCTAGTCTTTAGGTCCTGACCCATAGCTAATTCTCATTACACATCTTTGAATGAGAACTTGGTAGCAGCATATCAAACTATGGCAACAAAGTGGGGGAAATGTAATAAAACTACAGAACTGAAGCAGTGACAAACATCTGTTCCTATAATGTTTCTGATTTGTGTGTCTGCTTAACCCCAGAGCATCTAATCAACTCAGACCCAAAGTCTTGGGCAGCTCAATAGTCTGGGTGGGATGCTGACCATAGTAAGGGAGCTATCAGGTACAGCATTGTTATTTATTTACGTTTTTGTTTTTTTTTTTTTTTTGGTACTAGGGATTGAACTCAGGGACACTCAACCACTGAGCCACATCCCCAGTCGTATTTTGTATTTTATTTAGAGTCAGGGTCTCACTGAGTTGCTTAGCTTCTCACTTTTGCTAAGGCTGGCTTTGAACTCATGATCCTCCTACCTTGGCTTCCCAAGTGGCTGGGATTACAAGTGTAGGCCACTGTGCCAGGCCCTGCCTCATTTTTATCATGGCTCTATGCCTCAATCTTGATTTCCTCTGACCCTGATCTCCCAGAATGTCTGCAACCCAAGGAGAGATACTGCTTCTTCCTTTTCAACCACTCATCTCTAGCACCTTGCTTTGGAGCTGGGAGTAAGGACTCAACATACAGGTATCAAATGGTTTAATAAATGAGTGAATAGTAGGTTGAACAACTATTCCAGCTTGACTAGGACTGAAGGGTGTCCTGGGATACAGGGCTTTAGTTGCAAAATTTGGAGTAGTCATGGGCAAATCAGAACAGCAGATCACCCAAGAGAATGAAATCTCTCTTCTTGGGTACAGGGATTTTTGCTCAATATCATCATATTGGCTGTTACATGACCACCAAGATTAGATAGACTACAGTCCTGACTGCCCATCTATTTTAGGCTCACAGATGTAAGTTTGAAACTCTGCTGACCCCTTGGAATTCCCCATGCATGGAATAAATCCTAAGAATTTGACCTCATGCTTCATCCTTCCTGGTCTTGTGGACCCCGAGGGATGCTTACATTGTTCTCATAAAATGAAGGCCCTCTGGACAACTACATGGGCAGGAGTGTTAGCCTTGGTCCAGCCTCTTGGATTTACTTGGCTCACCAGTCCTGGCCAGTACAGATAAGCCTCATCTAGACTTAATTATAATCATTCATCATTTCAACAGAATTGCAGCAAATTTATTGAGTAAGTAAGCTGATAGCCATAGAACTTTACTAATAGATTTCCACAAATGTTCTGACTTATTTGACTATGAAAAAATGAGTTCTCATTCTAACCAACCCTCTTCCCTGTTACTTCTAGAAGGCACAAGGTTCTCAGGGAAATGGCACAAATTCATTCTCATGTATGGTAACGATGCTCCAGGCTCAGTTGAATTCTGCTGGTTTCCTGGAATTGGGGGTGAAGTGGCTCTTGAGAGGCTCCCAGCATTTGTAGTAGTTCTCATCTAAACAATTGGAGGTCTTGAGTCCCCACTTGGTGACTGCCAAATTTAGGGAAGATTCAAACATAAATGCCTGTAGGAAATGAGGATGGAGATAAGAAGGGACCAGGTAGACAATAAAGAACATTTCATTAACTGTCAAGAGAAGGTATAGGTTAGCAAAATCTTCAACTCATCAATTGGTGAGGAGAGGAAATCCACACCCTGGGTTCTGGTTCTGGTCCTACCACTCAGAAGCTGATGAGACCTTGTGCAAAACCTTTAGCTACTCAGGGCCTCGAGTTTCATTCTGTGAGGTGGAATTGGGCACTTAGGCCTCACATTATTCTCATAGCATTATGGAGCTCATTTTACTAGATCCAAGAGCAGAGGTGGGAGAGTCCTAAGATATTCTTCTTCTCAGGGGTTATCACTTACCATGGCCATGTCCTTGTGAGAGAGGACAGTCTCTCTGTTTTTCAAAGGAGGAAGCTAAGGCTCAGAGCTAGGAAGTGAATTGATAAGTTGTGGCAAGGCTGAGATTTGAGCTTGTTCTTTCAAGACTCTGACCAAGAAATCAGATGGGAAAAAGAAAAGGAGGAAGAAGAGGAGTGGAAAGGAAAAGGCAGGAATGACTATAGCACTTTTAAAGTCATATCCCAGTAGGGTCTGAATGGTGTATCTCACACTGTTCTGGATATTTTTGTCAACAACAGAAAGAATATTTAAATATTCTGTGCAACTTAGATATTTCAGCTTCATCAGTAGCTGATATTCCTACCACAGTGGCCTTAAAAAATAAGAGCAAAACCAAAAACAAACCAACCAACCTATGATTCTTACATACTCACATTAAAAAATTTAAAGAATATAGCTTTTGTGTGTGGGGGAAAGGGGCTTCACACATGCTAGGCAAGAGATCTATCGACTGAAAGACATTCCCAGCCAAGATATTTAAAGAATATAGCAGACAAAAGAGAAATGATACAGTTTTCTTGTGATACTATTTGGAGCACCCATATTAATGTTTGTTGTCTCATTACATTACCTTCTGTTTGCCTACATCAATGGAGATAAGTGTTCTTGCCTGACTTCCTATGGCAGACTCCATGTGAGCTCTGGATGAGATTTATGGAGTGTTATGTAAGGTATAAAGCTCTATTCAGGTATAGCTGTTATGGCAATTAATATTGCTGTCTTTTGCTGACTGCTTCCTAGGTGCTTCCTAGAATACTAAAAGCTCCGTCCCAACTAAGCTACAGAGACCATATTATATCAAGTTAATCATTCCAAACTAGAATAAGAATAAGGCGTCTACAATTCCCTTAGGTCTAAAATTATATAATGGGAATGAGTGAGGGAAACTCAAAGTTGGGTAAAGTGTTGGGTACTCCTCATCAGGTATTGTGGGCTCCCGGATACTCTGGGTCTCTCAACCTAATACCTCTACATGGACAGCTCTTTCCTACTACTCGTCTAGATCCAGACATTACCTGAAGTCTCGCTCGTTATAAAAACTGCTTCCTGGTAACAATGACTATCCAAAGCCAATTTACGGGACCAACCAATGGTTACTGTGTGACAACTCAGGAGTAGCCTGTGCACTTTCAGGAGGCTTCAGAAACAATAGCTTAAATAAGATTGTCAAACCATGAGACAGAGATATAGGGGTCTTATAAGAACCCTGCAGATACCCTTGCAAGGGACCTCAGCATAAACCAAATCCAAGCAGATGGGAGGTACTCTATTCCTTCCTCCTCCAAGCAGCTCCACCAACTCTGGCTTTGCAGTTAAGACCCAAAGCAAATTGCACTGGACAGATGGACAGCTAGGGCTCACTGCTTAGGTAATTTATGAGCTGGGCAGGGAGTCAAGCAGGTCTGTGTTATAGATTTTAAACCAGGTAGCATTGGAGACATTTGTTTAAAAATGTAAAACGAATTTGCATATGATTTAGCATAAAATTACTTCTTGTGGTCGATTAACTCTACCTCCAAGAATGCAAGAATAAAATAAAATCAAGCACCGCCAATTGTGTTCAGCCTCAGTGTTTACAGCCGGACACCGGAAGAATACAAAACAGTTTCTATTTCCCATCAGTTTCATTCTATGCCAAAGCAGAGCCAAGAAAAATGAGAAAACAGCTGAGATCTTGCTCACAAGCTTTGACCAGAGTAAGGCAAAGGCTTGCTGACCCTCCTTGGCTTGAGAAACAGGCTGAAGGTGACATCCTGCCTCCCCTGCTGTTGTGGCCCTGGAGGGTTATTGCCCAAAGCAGAAGACTCAAAAACAGAGCACAGGCACAGGGCTGCATATGGATATTAATAATATTTCCTTGCATTTGAGCGGTTCATAAGATTAACTCACAACCATCTGCTGGGCTGGATAGCATGGCTTTTCTACAGATGGGGAAAATGGAGCACAGAGAAGTAAAGTGACTTGTTCAAGGTCACACAAGAATTAAGGATAAGATTTGAATGTAGGTCTGACTCCAAGTCCAAAGGTCTTCCTACACCCCATACCATAAGTCTAGTATGTATATGAGTGGGTATATTTATATACACGTAAACTTGCACAATCAGACACACAACTCTTCCTAGTCCACCTCTGTGACTTTGGAGAAAAAAGGCACTTTCCTCTCAACACAGTTGGGGAGCCCAGAGGCCACCAGAGCCTGGCATTTAATTTGCTTACCATGGTGCCATCAGCAATCCTCTCAGGAGCCAGCTTGGCCTTGCTGGCCTTCTCAAAGCAATCTGCATCAGGGCCGTGGGGGGTCATGGCACTGTGCAGGCTGCCTCCCCCTGGCAGGAATCCACCTTGCTTTGCCTCGTAGTGACCTCGGATGAGTCCCATGAATTCACTCATGCAGTTCCCTGGGAAGGTTGAAGTATTATTATTTTTATTATTTAAGGCAAGAATAATAAACATCAAGACCTCTAAAATATTATTCCTGCAGAATGCCAAGAAGATACGAGGATCTGATAAATTTTATAGGATTAATAAAGAGTATGGTTAGACAGAAAAACAACATTCTTGGTAGGCAAAGCTCTACTCCATGGCATGTAGATGAAAGTCTTGAGTTCCTGCATCTGAAAGAAACTAGACTAGATCTAAAGAAATCAAGGCCCAGACAAGATAATAATAAAAATGGAAATCATAATAACAAGTGGATAGATTCCCGTATTAAAGTCATCTTCTCTTCTAGATCAGAGCTCCTTCCTCAATAGCTGCAGCACAGCAGTACATAGTGTCACCACATTTCTGGTTCCCAGTCTAGAAAGATGAAATGGTGTGTGTGTGTGTGTGTGTGTGTGTGTGTGTACTGATGGACGGTGGTGTAATGGAAAGAAGCTTAGATTTACAGTTCATTATTAAATGAAAATCTGTGTGACAGAATCTTGATATCTACAAAACACAGACTATAAATGATATTCATCTTAACAAAGATTATCTTTCTGTATCTTAATTGAATATAATCTTATTCTTCTGTTCTTCTATAATACTAAATCTTAAAATTGGAAAGGATTCTTACTGCTACTCAACACAGAAGAATTTTCTATTCTTTTTTTTAGTTGTTGATGGACCTAAAAAATATTTTATTTATTTATATGTGGTGCTGAGAATCAAACCCAGTGCCTCACAAATGGTAAGCAAGCACTCTGCCACTGAGCTACATCCCCAGCCCCAAATTTTCTGTATCTTTACTGACAGATTCCTGGATTCTACCTGAATGCCTTCTAAGAATGGAAGTTCTCCATTCTACCAAGAAGTCTATCATGTAACTTAACAACTCTGGGTGTAAGAAAGTTCTTTTCTATATTAAATGGAAATGTACTTTCATATAATTTAAATTCATTGGTCTTAATTGTGCTTTCTGGAGTCACACACAATTTGACAGACATTACCAGCTCCCACTCTTTCAATCTTATGTTTTTATTGTAATAAAGGTTTTTATTAGAATAATAACACATTTAGAACAAGAATTAAAGAAATATAACACCTGAGTGAACTTAAGTGTCTTTCCATCTCCATCTGCCATCTACCTATCTCTCCATTCATCACCCATTTCCTACTTTACCCATCTGCCCATCTTTCCAATGTATATAATTAGACACTATGCTAAGTTCTGTGATACAGACAGGAATAAGAAATAATCTGTTTAATGCTATTCATAGTCTGTCCTATGAAGAGTGCTGAGAATGCAAACCATGCCAGAGTAGAGATATGGAAGTCACAACACTTGCAAAGTCAAACATTTGTCTTATCCATGCCCTGCCCTTCTTTCTCATATGCAAAGTACAAATGTGTACCCAAATACTTTTGTAATCCACTGAGCAGCTGCGCCCATCCTGCCCCCAAAGTAAAAGCTGCTGTGGGATCCTACAGAGTAAGTGAGAAAGTAACAACCCTTACTAAGGGGATGAGACCCAGGTCATACATAGTTCTATTAGGTTCTCCACAAAGCAGAAATAGAGGAAAAGAAGCGAATGGAAGCAGGAAGTATCCACATTTTTAAAACAGTTCTGCTCTTAAATTTGCTGTCACGCTCCCCACTCTAGTGTATATCCTCAGGGTCACCTTCCCAGCTTAATTTTAAGAAGAGAGCAAGATGGAATTCAGCTTTGATCTGAATATGAATTTAGGTAGCAATGAGTTTGGCTATAACATTTCTACATCACTTTCGATATTTCAAAGGACAGTGGGAGGGTAGACCTTGCCTTTCTGATTAAAGCTGAATCTCTTTGACTAAAATGCATTGAAATGACTGGAGGCAATATTTCTAGGGAAATAATTCTCTGCTTCTCCTTTAAAGTCACATCAAAGTAGCAAAGATTCTGAGTATTGCTAAAGCAATAGTTTTTAATATCTCTGGCAAAACTAATTTCTAACTTAGGGTTCCCAACCTACTCAGGATCACCATACATTTATGAGATCTATCCTGGGGCCAAATTTACTTAGGGAGTCATTAAAAAAATTATAGGAGGCATTTCACAAGGCCATTTGTTTCACATGGTCTGAAGGAGAGATCAAGACGAAGGAGGGTTGATATTCTATAGCACAGTAGTGAACTTGACCATGTCATAACACTCTATTATCCCTCTGCATAGTTGGGGTGACAAACCTGTTACTATTTCTCAACAAAAGGTCTGTAGACCTTCTTCTACAATAGAGTACCTTGGCTTGCTGGCCTAACATGCAGATTTGGAAGTTCTACTTTAAAGCCAATGAATTAAACTCCATGGGGTGGGCCTTGAGAATAAACTTAAAAAGAAAAAAAGAAAGTCATTTTTGATGGTAACACCTGAAAAGGGAGATGCCAACATCCGACTATGAGATCCTCATCCTGAGGATCTTACTTCCCCAACCTCACAGATGCCTAAGTTACCCATTTTGTTTTCTAGAATGTTCTAACTGAGATCTATCCTAGAGTCTTTCTAGAGTTCTACATCCAAAAATGACAATCTCTGGGAAGCAGAATTATACATCAAATTTTAGATTTGATTTTTCAGCTAGTTATTGTACAGTTAAAAATGTCAAGTTCACTAAAATAGCCATGACCTAATGTATTCTTGATGATGTATTCACTTGTTGAATAAATATTTATTAGATGTGTATTATGTGCCAGGCATTAGGCCAGCAGCATCAGTGAGTGGTCATAAATGTCTTCTGGCATCAGAGATGTTCTGCAATTAAATCCTTACTCTTTCAGTAACTAGCTTGTGAGGGCTAGAGAGTTACTTAATCCCTCTGTGTCTATTTCATCTTCTGAAAAATAGAAGGAGAACAATGATATTACCTATCTCTTGCAGCTGTTATTTAAATTAAATGAGTTAATATTTTTAAAGAATTTATGATGGGGACTTAGGAACTGACCAATAATCATTAACCATTAGTCACAATAATATTAACAAAACAAAAATAGATTTGTTAGCTCCAGTTCTAAGCAACAAATGTTCTGTAGAAACTCCTTCCAGAATAGAGTCTCTCCCCTAGTGTAGACAGTAATCTGCTTGGTCCTGCTTAAGTAACTAGAAAAGGCACATTTTACTGGCTCTTGAACCATGCTTAAGTAATAAACTTCCTCAAATCAACGAATAACTAATTACATCACTGCTATTCCCCATTCTATAAAAGAAAAATCTGAAAATTATGGAAACTTCTTGTTTTCTGCTTTACTAACCTTTCTGCATCTCTTCAGGTCCAGAGAAATGGGGATCTAGGCCCCAAATTGATGCATCCCTGCCATTCTGCAGGGATTATGCTTGAGCAGCTTGAAGCCTGGGTACAGCATGGGACTGGGGAGGCAGGATCCAGAGCTCTGGGCAAGGTGGGGTGTCCAGAAACAACCTGGGCACTATTCCCAGTGCTTAGTGTTCACTGCTTTGCTGTCTCTAGTCTCCAAATGTGGCTTGGTAAAAGAAAGACTTACTGTGGTAATAGGGAGGCCTGAAAGTCTTATCAGCAACCCCCCATCGAGGTGGGAAGATAACAAAATCAGCAATGGCCACTCCAGGGCGGACAGACTTGGCAGTCAACACTGTGAAAATGGATGGGTCCTGTAACACAAAAGGAAAGGCAGAATGCACAATGCCAGGAAGGGACTGGACAATGACAAATGCGTCATCAGCACGTGAAACTGCTTTCAAGTTGACAGTCTAATTTCTGATCCAATGACAGAAGTCTGGACTTCTGCTCGAGGTGCACTAATCACTCATCTGACTGTCCCCTCGCTGTGCTTGAAGCAAAACGAATTCACACCAGCTAAAAGCATTCTGAGCTGCCTTTTCACCCTGCTGAGCCCACATTATCCACACCCTGCTACCCTACTAATCCTAGAGCCATTGTGTCTGCCTTCCAATCTTGGACCAGGGTGTCAAGGAGCTCCAAACAAAAGATATGCTCAGAGAAATGTGGACACAGAAATAAAACAGCGTCTAAGTTTTGGTGTCGATGGGTTTCTCTTTGGGGGAATCAGAGATTCCAGATGTTAACCATGGAAAGTCACTGGTTCATTGCTTTCTGATCAATTAACTCTCAGATCTAAAATACAATATTTATATCAACTATATATATATATAGTTGTATATAGTGATAACTATATATATAACTATATAGTGATAACTATATATCACCAACTTGTTGGTGATAGTGTAGAGGAGTTAGGTTGAGAGTCAAGATTATGCTTTTAAAGATCTTTAGACTCCTTCAGTGGAAAAGCTGAGATTCAATTTAATTGAAATTAACAATTGTGTTCAATTTCAGATGCCATGCCAACATCTAGGGAGTCCAAGATGATCGGGATCGATTCTCTGCCCCGTTAGCTCTAACTGAGGGGAGAGGAAAGAGACTATCTCTACCCAAAAAAAAGATCAGGAAAGGCTTGAAAAAGCAGGTGTCCTTTAAGCCTGGTGTTAAAAATGAACAGAAGAAAGGAAAGAAGGGAGGGAGGCAGGGAAAGAAGAAAGAAGGAAAGGAGGAGAGAAGAAAAGAAGGGGACTTTAATCACAGAAAAGAGAAACAACATCCAAGTGCACAGAGGTTTTGTTAAGAGGAGAGATAGTTAAAACCCAGGGTGCATTGACAGAAGGAAGAGGGGCAAGAGGTGGTATTAAAAAATGAGTCCAGGACCAGATGGTGAAAAGCATCAAATACCACGCTTCAGAGCTCAGACTTAATCCTAAGCCATGGGGAGCTTGTGAAGGTTTTCTAATGCAGTGGTGGAATGATCAGATCTGAATTTTGGAAAAATAACTACAGTAGCAGCACAGAGAAGATTGAACCTGTGTAAATTCAAATGAAAAAAAAAAACAACACAATCTTCATTGCTTGGAGAGTTAACATTGCTTCATCCATCATGGGAAATGGCTAAAACTATTAAAGGAAACATAGTAAGGCTAAAATAAAGCTTTATCAGTGCCTCAATATGCTTCTTCATGTTGGTATGGGTTTGGCGTCCCAATTTTCTTTTTTCCCTTTGGCTTTATTAAGAGTTACTCTTGTTCAGAAAGGTAGTTTTGTTCCTCCAGAGATAAGCTGAACTGGTTCAGAATAATCCTTCTTTCTCTGATTTTCTGGCTAATTATCCCTCCTGCTTGTGGGCTGTTAATCTATTATGAACTAGGCTGCAAAATGAATTTCCCCCAGGATCTCAGAACTAACACTTATGGAGTATCTGGAGCCTCAGGAGGGGCTACATTGTAGACTGGGGACCTGTTTGTGGCCCCCTAATTGACTGAAAAATATGACCAACTTCGTATACTAGGATTTCTTTGGTGGAAGTTCAAGTACTGAATATTATGAGTGACTTTAAGAGGGCTGTCTGCTCTATCGCTATCAATAACAGCCGGGAGTAGAGGTACCTGGGTGGCAGCCAGAGCAGTAGGGTAGACTCCTAAGATGTGAGGAGGACAGAGACTTCTTGAAATCCATAAATGTTCTTTTCTTCTGACTCTAACACTAATATTAGCAGTTGTGTGGGTTTTTTTTTTTTTAAGTTTTTGCCCACTTATGAGAATTATTGTGATTACACTGTAGAGAACTTGGCTGTGTTGAAGGATGAATGTTGAGTTCTTGGTATCCTCATTAGCTACATTATTGACACCTTCACCAAAGGACAAATGACTCTCTCTAGGCCTTCCAAGGGTGACCTTGGAAATATTAAATCTGTGACTGCTACCAATCTGCTGTGGATCCCCTTCCACCCAAAGGTTGCCCCATCCCCAGGACCCCTCCAGACTTACTGCATGGTCAAAGGCCACTGAGTTGATGACCATGAAGTTCTCCAGGTTGTACTTGTAGGGTGTATAGTTCCCGTGCCACGCCACGACATTGAACGGGGAGACAAGCTAATCACAGGAAGGATAAAAAGATGATCTTAGTATCTAAAGTTTTTGTAACTGTGATCTTATAGTATATATTGAGCACAACTCCCTTTTTATTTGATATTGTTTAAATCTAATTATACCATCCTTCGAGAGAAGTACACTCTTAATTACTCTGTGGTTGCTTCACACACCCTTGACCAAGCCCTCACTTGGCTACTGACCCTATCTTTCTTGTTCATAAGCCGCAGCTGCCTTTTGATTACATGTGCAGCAGAAGCACAGTTACCAAGTGGTGTCTCTTCAATGATTTTTACCATAAATATAGGAATCTGTGGATGCTATCAATTCTCAATCTTGGCTACCCTCTGTTTCCTGGTACAGTGGGCACTTCCTATGCAAATCTCAGGCTTTTGCAACCTAGAAGAGCTACCCATAAACATAATGCTTGAGTTGGTGAGTATAGGGGTGGGGAGCAGACCCCTAATATTTCTAGCCCCAAGGATTAGCAACTTCAGAGTGACCCCAAGGTCCTTCTTGATCCTGTATGGGGTAGGAGGGGATCAGTGTTCTGTTATAGAATGGTGGTCTCCAGTGCTGCTTAGGGTCTATTCAGGAAAAGGGATCCAACTCAGAATGTTCTAAGGACTTCAGTGAACAGACTACCCACAGAGGTGTGATTAGAGATAAGTAGAGGTGTGGAGGTATCTGAGCCTCACAGCAGTGGGAAGGCATTGTCATTCCTAGATGTGAGAAATAAGGGAGGGCAATACTGTGACAGAACTCCAGCAAGGGCTAGAATCATGAAAAAGAGGTGTCCCAGAGGTATGCTAGTATATATTTAACAACTGGCTTTCTGGGGGAAAAAATCATTGATTTACAGCATTTGCTGATTTCTGGAGCACAAATACCCTCACCACGATCATTTTTGTGCAACTAATGTGAAATTGCTGAAAACAGAGCTGTGAAGAGGTGTGCATATCAGCTCTTGTGAGTTAACATCAACAAGCTTCTCAGAGGTTTCAACACAAATAGTTCCTGAACCACTTCTGAGAACCCCCAATCCTAAGATGAGGGTGACAATATATGTGCCTCAAGGGTTGATTTCCAGAACCAAACTGGTTGGCCTCTGCTAGTTGACATGACCTCTAGGTGCTGTTCAAGGAAAATAACATACCTTGTCAAATACAAGCAATAAGTCAGATGGACAAAAAATAACGTTAGTAGAAGAGATCTTTGGGTTCTTTTTATTATATGATTAATTTACTTTAATATATACAATATATTAAGAACAACACATAGTAACATTACCAGTTCTATACAGTAATCATTTATAAAGTTATTTTTATTATTTTCTGGGCCTTTGCTTATGCCCTGGGTTTACCAAGCTGGTGGTATAAACCAAACCAAGTTAATTAACTGAGTTCTATTTGTTTTGTATTAAACATTATTTGTATTTGAAATAAGGTAGTCACTGCAGAACATAAATCTTAGTTGATCTTCTTGTTAACTCATTTTCCTTTTCAGAACACATTCTCTGCCTGCATATTTTGTTTTCCACAGCATTTATAGAGACCTACATATTTCCAGGATTTTCATTGATTGGTGAGCAGAAACAGCATAACCTTAGGAGTCAGAAGGATGTGAATTTGAATGCTGGTTCTGCTATTTACAGGGACATTTGTAAATTATTTCTCATTACCTGGTCTGTTTTCAGGTGTAGCACTTTTAGTGGTGTTTTAAAGATGAAAGGATGTATGGAAGGTACCTAATACTGGTCTTGGCTATCAGTAGATACCTTTTCATTCCCTCTCCTGTCTGCCAACCCTCTTATTTTACCTGTTTGGCAGCAAACAGCTTGCCCTGGTATTTATTAATCACAGTGTAACCACCTGGTACTTGACGATCTTCATACCAGGCAACAGGTATCAAGAAATCACGGGGATTGGCCAAGCCATTGGCTCCTAAAACACAGTAACCCAAAGTCCTTTTAGACACTTGAAATCACATATGAAAGATGCTCACAAAGAGAAAGGCCTTTTTTCTGGTTAAGAGCCACTCAACAAATTGCTTTCATTGCTTAAAGACAGTCGATTCCTAATCTTCTACCTTTTCTGGAGGACCCAAGGAATTTGGTCAATTGGAATTTTACAGTTATCACCTTTATCATCACCAACATCATATCCTAAAGTTTTGGAGTGACTATGTTTTACAAAATCATTTTATATGCATTATTGATCACTACAGGTGAGAAGAAAGGAGAAGAAAGGACTAGAAAAGAAGAAAAGGGGAAATCTGACCGAAAATCAGGTATTTGTCTTTCTGAGGAAACTCTGATGACTCTAGAACACATCTACAGTCCTTGATCTCAGATAGGAAGGACCACCACCATCATCCCAGGCAGGCCTCTGCTCCTTAGTCAGAACTCAAAATCCAGGACTGTAAAGTTGCTCTCCAGCCTGAAAATTCTATCTTCCATTCAGGGAAAAAGGCTTCAGGATGTGCCTGCTTAGCTCTGCCTCAGAACTAGTGTTCCCTCAGAGAAGGAAAATAAATCAAAAGACCAAATATGAAAAGCATAAGTGCAAAAACATAATTTAACTCTGAGAGGAAAGACCTGGGGAGTGTTTTATCATTTCCAGCTCCTGGGGTTAAATAAAATAAGCCCCCAGCTGGTTAGTAAATTATATATATTTTCCGGAGGGTACATGTTCCGGGGAACCTGGAGGCTACGCTGCCTGCGGAACAGCAGGAAGCCAGACTAAAGTGGGAAGAGTGGGTGGTGAGCAGGATGACAGACGGCCCACCAGGGCTCCAGCTGCTTCTCTGCTGCCTCCCACCTTCCTCTGAATATTTGGATCCCCCAGGGGAGTGACCAGAAGGCACATGCTGGCCTGTCCTTGTTTTGCTCTGAAAAGCTGTTGACAAGGAAAGCAACTGGGAGGTGTGGCCACAGATGGAACCCAGGGCCAGTTTCCCAGCTCTCCTTGCACTCCAAAGGGAGGCTTCGAGAACAACCCCTCCTAACACCTTCTCTTCTCTCCTGAATCTCCAGCCTCCGGCTTGCCAGAAGAATGAGGACTGGGGGACCTCGGTTCACTTTAGGAAGTTTTAATCTGCCTCACAGCAGCTGTTGTTTCTGTTTTTTCATAGTACTGAGCGATGCCCTTTTTTTACTGTTAAGCATGTGGATTTTGTGCAGTGTGCTCAGGAGAAAAGTGAGGTTCCTAGACTGTGTGTCACTCAGTCCCCTCCCCCTTTCCATAGGAATGGCCACCTGGCTATTGTTATGGCTTTCCCCACTTCCTGTCTATACCCAACCCACTAATGTAAGAAAGTAATTATTCACAAAGCTCATTCCCATTTGTATGCTTTTGCTTAAAGTTATTCCCTTTCCTCTTCTCCTCAACTTTCCATCAAGAATTAGTCAAATCTCATCTCTTTTGTGAAGCTGTTTCTGGTGACCCCATCCACAGTAACCCAAACTTCTACATCCTTTGCAGAAATGTATTACACACTGTCTTTATCTCCAGTGGTTTATAATATTATTCTAGAAGGAAATTTGTAATGTGTTGGCTTAGGTCATTTTCTGTTATGCATATATTTTATGGGAAGACACTTGGTCTAGCTGAAGAGGAAAGCTGAGATTTGAATGAGGTGGGGAGGGGGAAGGATATTTAGCTTTCATGCAATTATCTGTGTCCTCAAGCAAGGCTGAGAGGCTAGAGTGAAGATTTACCAATGGGTCCCAGGTCAGGTAACTCAAAGTGGACACCATAGACTTCCAGGATGTAGCCCCTGGTCTCTTCAAAGACATCTATGCTGAACCACATTCCTCTCTGGAATTGAAAGCAGACACAGGGGTGGCCTCTTAAATCATACTTGTAGTTATAGAGAAGCTGCCACAGAGCCACAGGCAGTCCCACATGCAAAAGCAAAGCTCTAGTTTGTTGAGGTATGTTGGAGAGGTGACCAGATCAAAGATGAATTAGGAAGAAAAGCTTCATTTCTAATCATGCCTGTGACTCAAGCCAATTCTAGTCTAATTTCTGCTTGGGTCCAGAAGTAAAAGTAGCCCAGATTTAGTCACATTAAAAAATAAATAAAAACAAACAACAACAAAAATAATTTTCACTGCCTCCTACCTTCAATAGAACCTTATCCACAGTGGGCATAAACACTTAGAAACATGAATGACGAATGCTCTTTGCTCCGTGGTTGTGTGCTATATTAAAGCAAAGCAGCACCCAAGCCTGCTTACCCTTCGGCACATGAAGCCTTCTGAGCAACTCAAACTCCCTCCCCCTTGCCCAGACATGACAGAGAAATTTTATAGTTGGAAATAGAAGCAGCTGAAACATCTGATTGCTCCCAAATTAGGGAGAGGCAGGGAGGAGAAGGGGGCACATTACCAACCTGAATGACGCAGATCTCATTGGGCTGCACAAGCATCTTGCCAAACTCAGTGTAAATGAGAAGCTTCCCTTTCTGGGGAACTGATAAAAAAAGACAGGGCATTGGTGAGCAACCCTCTTTGTGCAAGAACTATTTCATAAAGGCTTAAGGGCTGCATTTGCTTTTTATTTCACATAAAAAGAGCTTTACTCTATGTCTGGCGGGGGTGGGGAAATGCATATTCCAACAACTTCAGTTAGTTATTTTACTATCTGGAAGAATGTGAATAATAATAATAATAATAATAATAATAATACCGATTTTTCCCCCAGCTTCTAGGTGAGGAGCTTGTAAATGTACAATTTTGTGAATCGACAAAAAAAGTGCATTGCATTTCTAATGTCTATACCAAAATGTTGGTTTCAAGATATTAACACTAAAACCACCAAATGGAATGGGAAGATTGGAAAAAAAATGATTAGACCTTACATTTTAGATGGTCTCGTGAAAGTTTGTATTTCTATTGCAGTTATCAATGACAGATGGGCTTTTCTTGGGTAAGTTTGAAGGTAAACAGAGTTATATTAAAAAAAAAAATTAGTTGTATATGGACACAATGCATTTAGTTATTTATTTATTTATATGTGGGTGCTGAGGATTGAATCCAGTGTCTCACACATGTTAGGCAAGTGATCTACCACTGAGCCAAAACCCCAGCCCCCAGAGTTAAGTTAATAAGTTAATCACATGCTGGTACCACTTATTTCTTCTCAGCTGCCCAGATCTCCCACTTTAGAAAGGCCCAGAGAAGATGATTTAGTTCTGTAATTGTAAAGGCAGAAACCAGGAAATAGAGTAGGAGTTTTGAGGTATGCAAGGAATCTTTTCCAGAGCACCAGTGGCCTCTAGACTTCAGTCTATAAATTGCATTAAGTTAAATAAAACAGATTTGAGAATGAAGGAAAATAATAGGTCGAAAATTAGAAAGCAGCTTGTGGCTAGAGATCAATGAACAGTGAAGGGGTCTGAAATCGTCAGAACTTACCAATCAAGAAGTCCCCATCTGAATTATAAAAGCATCTGAAACATACAGAGTATTTCCTGTCATCTTCAGTTTTAACACTGTCTAGACAAGTGAATTCATTTACTAATTATTGCTTTGTGCCTACTATGTACCAGGCTTAGCATTGGGTATATCACAGTGAGCAGAATGACCCAGTCTTTGCCCTCATGGAGCTTAGAGCCTGGTAGGGAGTCAGATCGCAAACAAACAATTACAGAACTAAATCACTGCAAACTACAATAGCCCTTGAAAGTCAAGTTCAGATAAATGAAAGAAAAGGGATCTGCACTAGTTTGGGAAGATAGCAAAAATTTCCCTGAAGGCGGGACTCTTGGCCTGGGAGCTGAAGGTATTATCCAGGCCAGGGGAGAGGACAATCCAGACAAAAGGACCAGCATGCACAGGTGCTCTGTGGCAAAAGGGCCCATGCAGGTTGAAAGAAGTGAATGAAGGCCAGTGTGGCTTGAGTGGAGGGGAATGTGGCTCAATATGAGGCTGGACTAAAAGGGAGGTTGCCAATGACTTGCCATAGGACTATGATCTTGGTCTTCATTTGGGGCTCAGAGAAGTTAAATGACTCATGCAAGACCGAAATTGGGTTTTGGATGCAACATCTGGTTCTACTGGCAGGACAAAACAGCTGCACTAGTCTGTTTCCCAAAGAAAACGCAGGAATGCCATTTTTTAAAAAACAATTATTTAAAAAACGCCAGTATATAAACTGCTTTTCACAGAAAGCTTGAAGCCAAGTCTATCAGCGTGGCCTGCCACTGACAGGTGGCCTAATGACTGCCCCTGCTGTGACTTTGATCTCAAGAGCAGACCTTAGAAATTGAGAATATTCTGGCCCAAATCCACCTAAAGATAAAATGCTTTTTGTACCACACCTTCATTCCAGGGTCTCACCTTCCTTTTTTTCTGTTGACCCTCTTGTTTGTCACAAGAGTCAGTAAAAATAGAAAATGCTTATTTATTATTATTTTCAACAAATATATATTAATATTTCTCTGAGGGAAAAAATAACAAAAATAACAATGTCTGTGCAGGTGTGACTTTGTAAAAGTGGATACTTGTCCTTCACCTTCTGGCAACAGCCCTTGGGGAATGGGGATGCCCAGCCCTAGCACTGAGTCCCTTACCTGTTCTCCATGGAAGTGTTGCACAGGAAAATATGGACAGCAAGCCCATTGTTAGACCTGATGTCTCCAGCTCCACACAAGGTGTGCAGACCCTGGGAGAGACCCATGGGAGACAGAGGTTGAATACTAGTTGTGCCCAAGAGACCAGCCTTCGCCCTGCCCCCCGCATCCCCCCCCCAACGGCCCACCAAGGTCATGAGGCAAGGTTTCAGAAGGCTCTCTCCTTGGGGACCAGAGAGACATTTGGGATCTGGGCTAACTCTGGGGAGCCTGGAATTTACACTTATGTATGGTTGTTTGTGCTCACCCTACCTTTCAGCTGTGACCTGAATATGGCTATCTTAATGGCTACATCATATAGATTTATGAGGCAAGAGTTCACTAATTTTAATTAATTCAAAAGTGTGCTTAAGTTCAACCTGGAGGAGCAATTCCATTCAAGGTGATATTAAATATCAAGGGGGCTTAGGGGAAAATGGTGGCAGCTTCAGGTGCCGGTTAATGCCCTCCAGTCCACCCCCATATGAGCAGTCCTCTGCTTGTGAAGCAGTCAATCTAATCTCTCCAGAATAGGAAAAAAGAAAAACATATTCTAACTGACTATTCTAACATATTCTCTCTGCTGTGTGACCAGATGATTGATACCCAGTGGGGAACACACAATCCTTCTCAGAAAGCTCCCAGCCCCAAAGCTATAGATGGAAGAATCCAAAAGGAGAAGGTTCTGCTCCTCAGAGACCCATAATTCACACAGGAAGTGGGAAATTTCTTTTTATATTTTAATTTGGATTGCAAGTTTGTGGTCTATTGAAGTGAGTCTATACAGGATTTTGAAGCATTTACTAAGGGTAAAGATTTTTTCAAGACAATTTAAACAATTTGGCCTTCTGGCTGAATACCTAGACAGTCCCTAGGTAAGCTATGTGCCAAGTTGATCTGCAGAACACTCCACTGGCCTTTTGGAGCCCCACCTCCCTATGGCTCCCTCTGGGCACAGGTATTATTATAGTACTCCACCCCTGTAACTGCCAACAGAGCTGCCAATCAGCTATGTACTAACTACAGCTGCCATCCTGCGTTGATGCCCACTCATCCACTTCAGGGGTTCATGAACTTGGATGAGAAAATTTTTCTATTTATTTTCTCTAATCTTTGAGTGAAATTCATCATTCCCTTTAATTAATATGAATAGAGGCAACAAATCACAGCAGTATTAGAGGTGCCTGTGTTCAATGTTAGAAATCATGGATATTTTCATGTCATATATCACAGGTATATCAAAGCATCATTTTTGCTCATATCACAATTATTTCCCATATAGCTCATTACTTAGTACACTAACAAGAAATCATATATATATGACTATAAATCAAACACAATTTGATTTTTTGAAATTTTTTTTATCATTGTGTTTCAATATAATTGTCTTCTTTGTGATTTTAAGTAATTTCTTTCACACATTAAAATTATAGGTATCTGGGCTGGGGATGTGGCTCAAGCGCTAGCACACTCGCCTGGCAAGCGCGGGGCGCTGGGTTCGATCCTCAGCACCACATAAAGATGTTGTGTCCGCCAAAACTAAAAAAGAATAAATATTAAAAAGTTCTCTCTCTCTCTATCTCTCTCTATTAAAAAAAAATTATAGGTATCCCTGGGTGCAGTGGCATATTCTTGCTACCGAGGAGGCTGAAGAAGGAGGATTGTGAGTTTGAGGCCAGCCTGGGCAACTTAGAGATAAGCTGTCTCAAAGTGAAAAACAAAAAGGGCTGGAGATATAGTTCAGTGGTGCGGTACTTGCCCAGCATGTACAAAGCTCTAGATTCAATCTCCAGCACTGCAAACAAAGCAAACAAAACCCCCATGGGTCTGAGCAGACTATCAAAGGGACCCATGGAGCAAAAAGGATAAGATCCTCTGTTCTAACTTCAAGAGAAGAAGCTCGAGGTAGGAACACATCCACTGCCCATTGGCCTTTCTGAGATGTAAAAGCTCACTAGTGCCCTTTGGTGAACCATGGACTCATGTTGTGCCTATAAGGAAGACATCCCTTTGCCAGCTCCCCATTGGCAGACACAGGTGGGTTTGTCTCTGCTGCCTCCAAATAAGGCTGCTTCTGATTGGCATTCAGCCTGTGAATGATGAGGTCATTCACTGCAGAAGAGAGGAGGGCTATGGGAAGGTGTAGCATTGACTTACGCTCACAAAGTCCACTTTCTTCTGAGAGGGTTTTGGAATCTCAAATGGTTTCCATCTAAGCTGGAAAAGAAATATGCACACAGGAAAAGGATTTCACAAAGGGAAAACCATAGGCTTTCTAAATACAATACAGAGCATCAATTACAAGGAAAAAAGAGGTCAGCTGCTCCCTCTGAGGTTTGGACTACTTTTGATTTTGTTATTTTAAAATTAATGATAATCCATCATTTCTTTAGAGGGGGTCTACTGGTGTATGTGTGCATATCATGTGCACATGCGTGATGTGTGTGAGTTGAAATCTATATGAATAAAAACTGTCTTTGTTCCTTAGAACTTTCAATTATAGAAATAAAGAGAAATCGTTGCTTTCTCATATAGAAGCTCTTTGTTTCTTTTAGCATTTTGCTCAGGCACATCAGCAAGTTTTGACTGATGCCGCTTTTCCTGCTATTTATAATCAGCTCCTTTTCCTGGCATGCCAGCTTCTCTGTGTGGGCTCCTGACACTGCAGGGGAAGGTTCTACTTCTACTTCCAGCCCTTCGAGTTTTGAATTATTTCCTTAAGAGAAAGAAAAAGCACCCAGCTGAGATTGGATTTGGTAAATGCAATACCGGGTTCAGTTTCTTCATCAAACCCTGCGTTTGTCCCTAGGCTGCCTGATGGTTCAGTTTAAATCATAACAATCTTTAATTTAATAATGAACTGATCTAAGGAAGTGGGGAGAAGAATCAGCAGGTTCAGACCTCGCTTGGATTGTCAGCCCAGCACTTATTAATCAACGCAATGGCAGCCTGATCCAGCCAGGCTGGTGGCTAATACACCCAGCCACCCCAGGGCATATCTCAGGAGTGACCTACACCCCAGGGCTGGCTCCTTTGGCTACAGTGCCTGATGAAGGCAGGCTGGAAAGGGCCTCCCTCAGGTCCCAGGGCTCAGCTCATTTGTATGTCTGATGGGCAGCCAGATGGGAAAGAAAGCAGCAAATGCAAGAGGAGGCAATGGAGTTATTCTGCCTCTCTGACACACACAGTCAGGCAACAGCCTTCATTTCTTAAAAGCAAAGCAGATTGATCACATTCTGAGACAACTTTAAAAGACCTGAGCTGGGCATGGTGGCACATGTCTGTAATCCCAGCAGCTCAGGAGGCTGAGGCAGGAGGATTGCAAGTTCAAAGCCAGTCTCAGCAACTTAGTGGGGCCCTAAGCAACTCAATGAGACCTATCTCTAAATAAAATACAAAAAAGGGCTGGAGATGTGGCTCAGTGGTTAAGTGCCCCTGGGTTCAATCCTCGGTACCAAAAAGTAAAATAAAATAAAATGACATGAAAGGTGGATTTGAAAAAGATCATTCAAATAATGCTTCCAAGAAAGAAGAAAATACTTTAGGACTGATTTCATTAAGGATGATTTCTCTTGGGGGAAGAGAGGGGTACTTGAAAGCGAGGATGTAGGAAAGGCACTGTTGACATTTTTGTGCTGCATTTATTGCAGGGGCTGTACTTCATAGGATATTTAGTATCAACTCTGACCTCTACCCACTAAATGCCAGTAGCTTCCCTCCAAGTTGTAAAAATCAAAAATATCCCCAGACATTGTCAAATATCCCTTGAGGGGCAAATATCCCTTGGTTAAGAACTATGGAAACAGAAGGACATTCCCCTGACCTCAGGAAGAGCTACAACTGAGCACTGTTGGATTCTGTGTGTGTGTGTGTGTGCTGGGATTGAACCCACATATGCATGCTCAGCATGTGCTCTGCCACTGACACAGCCCCAACCCTGAGCACTGCCGGAGTTTTGAGAGGAGGTTCTGGTCTGCTACTAACTACCTGCTGCTTCAGTCTAAGTAGCAGTGCAGTGTTTGCATACCAAGGAAAATTGTCAGAAAAAGACTCATCATTTTAGATTTCCCAATGGAAGAGATTTAAGTATCAGATCAATGGTTACCTGGGCAACCCTTTAGCTCTAACCAGAGATTCCCAACCTGATTTTTCAACCCGACCCATGGAAATTACCTGGAGAGGTTTTGAATCCAAGACCAAATTAAATCAGAATCTAAGAAGGTGGGCCCTGGCATCAGTATTTTATAAAAGCTCTCCTAATGTGCAGCTACACTTTAGAATCACCACACCCAACTTGGAGATTCTGATATTATTGCATTGCTGAACCAAATATCATGCTCGGGAAAAAACCACCCAGTCAACCAACCAAGCCACAAACCAACCTGACAACCAACCAATCAATCAACTAACCTGTGGCATCCTGGGCCAAATGACAGTGACAATGCCACTACCAACTAGCAAAGAAATTTAAATAACGCAAGCGTAAGGATCTATAATCTAAGAAAAGAGAGAAGAAAGCAAAAAGGGAAAGAAAGAGAGGGAGAGTGAGAGATCCAGCTCTCAACAGCAAGGGAAGTGAGAGGACCTGAAGGGCAGATGAAAAGACAAGCATGTGATGATGTAGGAAGCATGCCTTCCGCAGGGCCCACAGCCCGATGAAGCAGTGGCCTTGATGAACCTTCTCTAATGCAAAAAAATGATTCCCTTCAAATGACAGATGGTGTGGGGAGAGGAATCATTTATTTCTTGGGTCCAATGGCAACAGATTGTTCATAGTCTATATTCCAAATGTGTTGGGCCTATTATGAAGGATGATAAAGACCCCAAGGTGATTCTGATAAACTCAGTACCCAGAGAAGGAAGCCAGCTTTGGGTACTCTAGCAAGATTTTGGTAAAGAGCCTTGATGTGATATTTTGGTGAATGTGAGCAAGGGGATTCAGGAAAAGGATGAACAGGAAGAGTCCATGGAGTGCAGGGTATAAACACCTCCTGCCAAAAACAGATGCTCAGCTTAATTGTACATATGCTGTGGATCAGTACCCCTCTGATCCAAGGCCAGACCAAGGGGATGGTGCATGCGGCTGAACCAGGAGACTTGGTTTGGGGTACTGCCTCCATTCCCATTTACTCTGTGACCTCAGGCAGGTCATTTTCTCTCTCTGAATTGTGTTTTCTTACATGTAATAATGAGGTACTGGTAAGAACTATAGTTCCATAAGTCTCTTCAGAGAAGAGCTTTTATAAAAAGTGAAGAATGCTTATTAGCTTATTTACTCCTTGCTGTGGATTGTGTCCTCTCCAAATTCCTATGTTGAACTTCTAATCTCCAATGTGATTGTTTTGAAGATAGGAACTTTAGGAGGTAGATAAGGTTCAATGAAATCATAATTTGGGGGGTTCTAATCCAATAAGATGGGTGGCCTTCTAAGAAGAAGAGATCTCACTCTCTTTCCATATGTACTCAGAGGAAAAGCCATGTGAAGATGTAGTGAGAAGGTAGTACAAGCTAAAGAGAAGAGGCCTTACAAGACACCAACCCTCCTAGCAACTTGATCTGGGACTTCCAGTCTCCAGAACTGTGAGAAAATAAATTTCTATCGCTTAAACCACCAGTCTAAGGCATTTTGTTACAGCAGTCCAATAAGATTAATATAACCCAACAACTTTCTAGTTGTAGGTTTTAATGGTGTATTTTATTCATACTCTATGTTATCACTAAATGGCTCTCCCATGCAGAATTTCATAATTAAACATTTCAAAAACAATGACATCAGTTGTAATGCATGATGCAGTGTCTTGATTATGATAGGCATCAATAAATATTTATTGAATGATTGAATGAGTAAATAAATAAATGGCACTGAGCATGATGCTTATATTTCAAGGAATGAGAATAAAGCAAATTTGTGAGAGCTTTCAGAGTAAAATGACATTCAGGCAATAATTAGCAAATTAACATAGTTTTAAAAATCCAAAGATGATTTCTAAAACATAAGTCAGTTCTTCATGCATGTGAAAAATTATCACTTCTACATCCATTCTGATTTTCTGTCCAGTTCTATCAACTATTGAGTGAAGAGTGTTAAAGTTTCCAGCTATAATTGTGGATTTGTCTATTTCTCCTTTGAGTTCTGTCATGGATTTACATACTTTGCAATTGTACCCTACAAATCCTATTGGAAAATAAACTGTTTCTTACTAAATGTGTGGTGATAAAAATAATTTTAAAAGCATCTTCAAGAGTATCCAAAGTTATAATTAAAAATTCTTTAACATTATCCAAGGAGGAAGACAGATAATTGGTGGCAATATTTAATGAACAAGATTCAAAATTCATACTCAGAGATGAAAAGGAAATATGAAAGAATCAGTCTCAGTATTTTCCAAAGTTAGAAGACTGGGAGTTGGGCTAGATGATCTGAATATCCCTTTCAACATTGAGATTCTTTGATTTACTGAGATTCTATCCAAAATTGCCATGAACTCAATTAAATTGGATGAATTGAAGGCTCTTAATGACATTAACTGGCTAGAAGTAGACATGTCATTAGAAGTCAGTACCAACTATCCAAGAATTTTGAAGTAATTTGTGGGTTAGATAGTGATCCTAATGTTCAAGCAATTATTAGCAGCAGCCATGACTGAGAGAAGTCCAGGGTAATTGGTAGTGGTGAGTTTCAGTCCAGACAGGGAATATAAGGGTGAATAAAATAAAACAGTGGCTCATTGAATTCCTCAATAAATAGCAATTTGAGGGGAAAAGGAGAGAGAATCAGGCTTTGATTCTCTCTTTCTTTGATTCGTTGGACTTCTTTGATGGGCAAGAATACAGATAGGGAAGATCCAGGTCTTACTAATTTATCTAGACTTTCTAAAGTCTTTCAAGAGGCTACCAGAAAAGATAAGCCATACTTTTTGACCTTATCTTTGAAAGTAAATCTAAGGGCTTTATATTCATTATTCAGTGCCATGGTTTAAATGCCATATTATTCAGCTTCCCTTTTCTATTATGAAATACCTGAGAGGAATAGCCTATAAAGAGAAAAGAAAGGTTTATTTTGGCTCATGGTCCGAGATTTAGAAGCCCCACTTCTTTGGGTCCCTAGGGAAAGAGGCACATCATGACAGGAGCATGTGGCACAGAAAACCGCTCAATTCATGAGCAAGGAAGCAAAGGAGAGAAAGAAGAAGAGACTAGGGCCCCACTATCTCCTC